TGGGCAGTTTGTCTTTTCTACAGATGATAGTGCAGAGGAGAGTCCTGGCCTCAACCGACAGACATGAGCAAAGTATTGTCAGGGCTGAACTTGTAGCAAGCGGAACAGTTACAGAAGTGCTGTGTTGTCCTTCCGTTTCAAAGATCTACTTTTAAGTCCTACACAGGTGGAGTACTCAGGCTGTGTATTCATGACAATAAAATCCAAAGTGAGAGTAATTGTCTAAATAGAAAGTGCTACATAGTTACACTTCTAGCAACCTTGTTTCCAGCCTCCACTAACTCTCCATCCAATCTCCGTATAAGGAAAATCAATGGTAGTATGTATTTGTTTTTAAATCAGTTTACTGCCTTGGATTTGATGTTAAGTCCTGATGCTTGCTTGCAAACCACTCCCCTTCCCTTTCAACTTGGCCTTGTGGCATGGTGGAGGGGAGCCTGCAGCAGCTTTCTGAAAACAATCTTTTCCAGTAGATTCCTACACCCTCTAAAGCAGAGGCTCATACTGTAAACTTGACCAACTACCTGTGTCTGGAGGAGTCACAGACTCTAGAGGAGAATAGTATTGCCATTTTCCTAAACCAACAAAGCTTCTAACCATACTCTAAATACTTATTCTTATAGCCATAGGTAAGTGTAGGTATTGCCCTTTGTGGTGGTTTCAATGGGAATGGCCCCATAGAGTCATATGATTGAATGCTTGGTCCCCAGACTGTAGAACTGTTCAGGAAGGATTAGGAGGTGTGGTCTTATTAGAAGAAATGTGTCACTGGAGGTGAATTTTGAGGGTTCAAAAGGCTCATTCCATTCTCACTTATCTTCCTGCCTCTCTCTGCCTCCTGCTTGCAGCTAAAGATGTGATCTCTCAGCTCCTGCTCCAGCACCACATATGCCTGCCTGCTGCCACACTCTCCGTCATGATGCTCACAGACTCTAACCCTCTGCAACGACAAGCTCCAAATCAAACACTTATTTTATAAGTTGCTTTGGTCATGGTGGTTTATCATGGCAATAGAAAAAGGGAGACCCCCTTCAGCAAAGAAGTTTCTTTTTGGCCACCAATGGGGGCTATTACAGAGATCCACAACTGGTCAAAATGTGGAGAGCAAATGACCAGGATGTTCAGCCCTACTTGGTACACATACAACACAACCTCCACATTTAAGGTGTGGGGAACAGAGAGGCAAAGGGGACAGAAAGCCTGTAAGAACCAGAGGACTGGGACTGCTGAAAAATCATGTATTCTTGGCTTGACAGGGATGCTGCCTGTGAAATCTCAACATATTGTGGCCTAAATAGGCCCTGCCTAAAGGCAATAGGTGTTGGAAAAATTCCTACCCCCTGAGGGAAGAGCTCCAGGCAATCAATAGCTTCTGAGAGAGAGAGAACTGGTTTTCTCCAGCACGCATCATCTGATAGGTTATCTGGTCCCAAGTGATCATCAGTAAACGTATTGTTATATAACCATAGCTATGTTATGGATATAAGAGGGAAGGGGAAGGCAGAGATAGAGGGGGTGAAAGGATAGATGAAAATAATGCAAATATATTATACATATCTATGAAATTCTTAAAAACTAAAGAAACAATAAAAAATAAAGAGATACATCTAATGCGAGAGAATGTTACCAGCGATGAGAGGCAGTCCGTGAACTAAGTCCAGACTTACCACATTCTCACCCTACCACCCATCCAGCTTCTGTAATGTATCTTTGCAAGCAAAGTCGTTTTTTCAAACATACCAATTACTGATGCTCCATCTTCTTGTCCACAGAGCTTTTCTGTAGAGTGGCGGCTTTTTGTGACGTGATATTCTCAATGTGACAAGCTATCACTCATTGGTTTCTATTTTCTCCTACCCATGGGGAACTGAGGCAGCAATTATGAACAGCCCTTGCACCCCAAGTTTGGAAAACTGGAGAAATGAGCCCGTATGGGAGCTCAGGGAATCAGTGCTCTCCAATGTCACTAGCAAAGCAGAAAAGCTTCTCTGGTACTCTGAAGAGAAGCCCTGACCACTCTGGGCAGAGAAACACGTTGTCAAGTGATTGCACAGGCTGGATCTGCTGTAGGATCCTCTTGTCACTACAGGGTGGGGGTAGAGTGGCTGTCCAAAGCACTGAGAAGTTTGGCCAAGCATGGCTCTAATGGAATGTGCTTTTGAGGAAATAAAAAAAGTCAAGGTTTTACCAAAGAACTAGGAAGACACGCAGATTCCCAAAGCCCTCATGGCTTTGCCTTTTCATCTGAAAAACTCTAAGCCAAATATTCCAGCTGTTTTCAGGAATATTGTGGATGCTAGATGAATTTTCCCTTCTTTGACCACTAGTCAAAGACGGTTGAACCAGCTCTGCTTAGGTTAGATGTCCAAACTGCTGATAAGAATCATTTTATTACAATATCCAATTCATTTATGGAAGCAAACACAAGCCACTCGCAGCCAGCTGATGAGTGAAAACTAAAAACTAAAATAATAGATGTCCATATTCTTTCTACTGACCTTATAGGTTTTATCTTAATTTCGCCTCAGGCGAAAACTAGACGTGGACTTTCCCCAAGGCAGGAGCCTGCTTGATAATCTTCACGGTCTCTTTTCTAATTAGCCCTTGAAACTTCTGTGTGCTATGAATATTTAATCGTATTGTCTATAAACAGGTTACAGGACGATAGAAACTTGGGTAATTAACATGAATGCAAGAGTTAGAGCTTCCGCGGCTGCTTTGCATATCCAGTGGTATTCCAGCAGGCAGCGCATTTGCATTGTACGCGGCCTTATTATTCTAAATTACAGAAGAGGACGCTGAAGTTTGGCAGCAACGAATGTTAGCTGTCGGGCTCTAGAGCCCTCTCCAGTTTTTTCAGCACATCCTTTGCCTAGTGTTTATTTGATGTTTGGAAAACACACTCGCATGTGTGAAAGTTTTCTTCTCTCGCAATCAGACTAGACACTAATGAAAACGATTACTTCTCCCCTGGCAGAGAAGAACTGTAAACAGAAAATATTTCTGAATGTTTAGCAAGTCTTAGAGCATCTATACTATGTGGGGAGTAGAAATAAGAGCAACAGAATCACCGTGAAAGACACACCTGCATGTGCATCTAGGAGGGTATTTCTAGAAAGGGCTAAGTGAGAAGAAAAGGCCTACCCTGAACGCAGACAGTATGATCCCAAGGGCTGGGCTGGATATAAAGGAAGGGAGTGAGCCATGCACTCACTGTAGGCACATGTGGCTGGCTGCCTCGAGCTCCGGCGGCCATGCCTCCACTGCTATGATGGATAAGCACCTCAAACTGAGAGCCAGAGCAAACCCTTCTTTCAGCTATTTTTGTCAGGTATTTTATAAGGCATCAGAAAAGCAACTAATATGCAGGGTATATGCACGGGTTTTCCAGCAATGAACATGTTTTTTAAATACAAAGGAAGTATTGTTCCATCATGTCTGTGATTATTTCTGTGGCTCTCTTTGTTCTGGCATTTTGGGATTTCCCACTGGTTGGATTGTTATAATCTTTTTCCTCTCTTGCAATTTCATCTCCCACCTTTTCTTCTACAGTGTCTAGAAGATGCTTTGTAGGTTGAGTGTCCTCCGTTCCCTGGGATGCATCTTTGCCCTGGGTTATAGACTTCCCACTCTGCAGCTGACTCCATTATGAAAAGGCCAGGGTGTGCAGAGTGGTGTAAATCGCTAGACTGTGCCATTGTGGTCGGCAGAGCATCACCTCATATCTCTGACTGGAAGATGGACCGTGCTCACCCCCAAGCCCAGCTTCCTATGAGTTCTTACCCAATGTGGCTCTGTTTCATAAGCGTGAGTCTTAACTGCTCATGTGTTTCCAGGAATCCTCTGCCTTCAGCGTATTTCCTGAGAGAATGCCGGTCTCTATACACACTGCACCCTCTATATTCCTGGCTCCTTTGTGTGGGATGAGGTGACAACACTATGTAACTGATATGAAAAGAGGTAGATCGAAAGAGAGTTCTAGGGACTCAGGTCTGGTCCTCTGAGCATCTAGTTCCAGTACAGAAGAAGAGCCACTCTCCATAGCCTGGTTCTTCAGCCCTGAGCACTGACTCAGGATCAAGAAAGGATGAGTGAAGCTTTCTGGGAACTCGTTGACCGATTGCCTTGGACCAAAGGATGAAACACGCAGACCTGGAGTGTTTCGTCAAACCAACCCTCTGGCACTGTGCATGACAGCTATTTCCTCCTGATAGCTATCAATGAAGCTATATATATTTCTCATATGTGTTTGTTTGTGAGTGGGTACCTGTATGTAGGCCTGTGTGGGTGAGTGGATAACCACAAAGGTGTGTACACATGCATGTGGAAACCAGAAGTCAACATGAGCTGTTTTCCTCAACCCTTTCTCTTTTCCATTCTTTTATGTTTGAGACAGGATCTCTCATTGAACAAGGAACTCACTGACTAGCAAACCCCAGGGAAACTCTTGCTTCCATCTCTCCAGCCCTGGTTATACTAGCGTGTGCTATCACCCTCAGCTTTGGGTGTGCCTGGGAGGGTACTAGCCACACAAACATAGGTCCTCATGCTTGTGTGGTAACCGCTTTAAGAACTGAGCCACGTCCCCACATGTTGAATTATGTTTTCACAGAAATCTATGGATTCTTCAACAGGAAATACAGTGCACCACAGGTCAACACATTGCTAATTTTACACGTGTTCAATGGACACATTTTCTCCAGAGGACAACATATTTGCTCTACATCTGAACATTACATTTCCAATGAAAAGCACGACACTGTCCCTGCCATGGTGCCAAGTGACGCTTACCAGTGGGATTCCAGAACAGGACACAAAGTGTTAATCAGTAGTGTCATGCTTCTGGAGCAGGCAAGGCTGCCCTGGAAGGCAGCCTGGAGAGCCCTGACCACTTCCCCAAGCTTCTGAGTATGCAGAGTCATCCCCTGTTAAAGTCAGCATGGAGTCAGCTATGCCTTGTAGACTCATCCAGAAGGAAAAAGATGAAACAGTAGCTTTACCTTATGGTAAATCCTGGACACCAAACTCCGCTGAAGAACCCTTTCTCGAAAATTCACTGCTTTTAGCAGAAAGGTGAGATGGCCCACTGTGTCAGTGTTAAATGCCAGGAAACTGGAGAGGAAACACAGAGAACATTGCTGTCAGTTTGGTTTTTCAAACAAAGTCACTTTCAAGAGCTCCTCAAGGAGGACTTATAAAGAGTAGTGAGAGCGGGAGAGATGGCTCTCAGCAGGGAGTGGTTAAGAACACACACACACTGCCCTTATGGAGGGAGGAGTTTGGTTCCCAGTACTCACATCACAGCTCACAACTGCCTGTGCCTCCAATGCCCTGGCCTCTGCAGGCACCTGCACTCGCGTGTATAAATGCACACCCAGACACACATGCATATACACATAATTTTAAAAAATATTTTAAAAAATAAAAGTGCCAGACAGCTGTCTCAGTGAGCAAAACAACACACAAACCTAATGACTTCAACCCTTGGATTCCGCAGTGGAAGAAAAATCAGTTCCCAAAAGTTGTTCTCTACCCTCCATGCATACACGGTGGCCCAGGTACACACACATACACACACACACACTATAATGATGATGATGATTGCTATAATAACAATGTATATTTAAAAACCAAAAGCACTTTCTTCCTAGGCAGGCATTATGAACATGCACCTCCCTCCCAACTCCCATTGGCATACATGTTCTTCTTGCAGTACTTTCTGGCGGGTGCTTGGCTCCGATTTATTCTACATATTTACCCTCGCGGTCTAGAAGCAATATGGCGTCCTGCTTTTCCTACTGACTATGGCATCTTAAGCTAGAGTCAATATTATATGTGTGTTTATTAACACACAATTCCCATCAAGTGAAAGTTATGACAACTTCCAATATTTTTGAGTTACTAGTATCTAGTGTTGAGTTCTTATTGAGCATTATCTATATTGAGTCATTATTATCTAGCATGCTGATACCATCATAATCAATGTATTGTTCAGGAAACTGACTCAGGAAGATGCAGTCACCTGCTGGATGTCCCAGAGAGTGTAGTGACAGGGGCGGCAGGCTATGTTCCTGGCATCCAGCCGCCCGCACGACTAGCTTTATCTGAAATAATTACACGGAAACTGTATTCTTTTAAACACTGCCTGGCCCATTAGTTCCAGCCTCTTATTGGCTAGCTCTTACATATTGATCTAACCCATTTCTAATATTCTGTGTAGCACCACGAGCTGGCTTACCAGGAAAGATCTTAACCTGCGTCTGTCTGGAGTGGGAGAATCATGGCGACTGACCTGACTCAGCTTCTTTCTCCCAGCATTCTGTTCTCTCTACTCCGCCTACCTAATTTTCTGTCCTATCAGAGGCCAAGCAGTTTCTTTATTACTAACCAATGAAACAGATAGAAAGATGACCTTCCTCCATCAAGAGGGAACACCTAGACTTGGTGAGTTTTATTTTGGGGTATACCAATGTTGGAGGGAATAGGTGTCCCACGGGGCTATAGGCAAGCCCAGAGTAAATAGATTATGTGTTCCCTCATGAGGTAGCTGTTGATAGAGTCCCCATTTGACTAAAGGGGAAACTGAGACATGGGGGCATCAATAGATTTGAAGACCAATAGGCAAAATGGCCTCTGCCCTGGGTTTTTCCTCACCCACGCCTGACTTGGTGCTGGTTTTGTGTTTCTTCTCCATGAACCTCCCAACAACCTAGACCACAAGGGACAGGGGTACCAGTGAGATGGCCCTGCAAGAAAAGGTGCTGCCTGTCAATCCCTGGGGCCCACACAGAAGAATAAGAGTCTCTATGTGTCCTCTGACCTCCACACACATGCTAGGACATGTGCACACACACACTCCCAAGTAAATCATTAAATAATATTTTCAAAAATGTGTGTTCTACTGGCTTACGTCTCTGTTGCTATGATAGAACGCTGACCCAAACCAATTTTGGGGGGGGCATTGATTTGGCTTATAGTCCCTGGTCATTTTCCATCACTACGGACAGTCAGGGAAGGAACTCAAGGCAGGAACCTGGAGGCAGGAACTGAAGCAGAGGCCATGGAGGAACATTGCTTACTGGCTTGCTCCTCATAGCTTGCTCAGCCCAAGACCATGTGTCTACAGGTGGCACCATCCCCACAGGGATGGGCCATCACACATCAACCGTCAATCATGAAAATCACCCACAGACTTGCCCATGGGCCAATCCGATGGGGGCATTTTTTCAAATGGGTCTCACCCTTCTTGTATGACTCTATGTTATGGCAAGTTGACTGAAAACTGACCAGTATGTATAAAATGAATTCATACTAAGGTTTGCCCATAGCTTACCTCCCCTTCCCTGCATCCTGGTAAAGTGAGTGATTTTAAGACCCAAACAAGTCAGATTTTCACTAATTAACCCTTAAAACCCAAGTTATTGCTGTTCATTGTAAGCAGAAGAGCATCCTTCATGAGCCAGAATAGAAAAGTGCTGACTGAGCAGTTATCTCTCACAGAGACAGAAGGAGAGGGGGATGCTTATACATCCCATTCCGGGGAAATCTCAATTATATATCAATGCTCATTCTGAACCTAGCATCAGAAAGCCAAGTTCCTGACTCAGCCTAGTTCATAAAAGATACAAAGAACTCACATCATTTATTTTTTTAAAACGTGTCTTAGTCATCCAAGAGCTAGTCTATGAAACCCAGAGCCATGAATATTTGTGTTGGAAACTGCCATTGTATCTTGGGATGCTTACCACAGGTCAATGTCTGTTCTCTCAAGTCTGTGCACTGTGTGTGCAGGACCTCACTCATACATCTGTGTTCTCTGTGAATCCAAAGGAGTCACCCAAAGTAGAAACCCTTGAAACCTGGATCACCACTGAAGGTGGTCTCTCGGATAACTGCCTGTTTTACAAGGGAGTCAGAATGACAGTAGAATCAAAACTAGATTAAATGCAAATGTGCATCATTGGTCCTCAGAGAAATGCAAAGGAAATCAGGAGAGAAACAGCTCGCTACACCCAGAAGTCTGTCCAAAATTAAATACTCTGTGTCAAATGTTGCCAAGGACACACAGCAGCCAGAATGCTTATACCTACCCATGAAAGTGTCAAATATCCAAACCCACTTTGGAAATCTCTCAGTTTCTCATAAAATAAGCACATGTGCTATGACCTAGCAATTCCATGTCTCCTACATGCCCGAGAGAAATCAAGAGGAACACTCATAAAAGGCTTCTATAAGAATATTCATAGCTGTCCTGTTCATTGGACTGAAAAGTTAGAAACATCCCAGGTGTCTATCTGTTATACGAGAATGGAAACAAATCATAGCAAACCCATAAAATACCACTAAGTAATAAAAGGGGAAGAAGTAATACATGGGACACCATGAGTAAATCTCAAAAAGCATTATATTGAATTATTGAGGCAGCCACAAAAGAGTAGAGTTGGTATGTTCCATTTCTATGAAATCCTAGAATGGGAAACTCTAGTCTTTGGCAGAAAAATATCAGAATAATCTGCATGTATTTGCCAAAAACTCAACAAGTGTACATTTAAAACACGTGAGGGGTATCATAAGAAAGTTCCGAATAAGAGGAAAAGGAATTGTCCCCATAGGTTGAACTCGAGTAAACAATGCTCTTTCAAAGTGTGCTAACGTCTGTAGTTTACTTTAAAATGCACAGGAAGGAGATGGCTAACGAGTGACGTCATCCGTGGATTCCCATTAATGATGTTCTGACTGTATGGTAATGATCCCACAAGCTCACAAGGGAATTGAAAACTTACCACTGTCTAGTGATAACATGGCCAAGCATAAAATCATAACACAAGAGCCAGGTATGGTGGCACATGACTTTAACCCCAGAACTCAGGAGGCAGAGGAAGGCGGATCTCTCGGTTTGAGCCTAGTCTGCGCTGCCGAGCATGTTCCAGGACAACCAGGGCTAAACAGGGAAACCCTATCTTAACATAAAAAAAAAAAAAAGAAAGGAAAAGAGATCAGAGCACACACCCAGGACTTGTGTGCTTATGCAGATGCTGCTCCAGACAGCTTTACTGTGCTGCCTGTCAGTCGTATAAAAGTACAGCAAAGTCATATATAAGAACACCAGCAAATAGATATAAAACGTAGTGCTATATAATGATAATAACTATGTTAGACTTTTGTGTATTTACTATGCCATATTTTAACATTATTTTAGCATATAATGTAAAAAGTTGTTAAAATCTTTACACTTACACGGTTCCATCAGTGATGGCCTGGTACACGTGTGGTGATACCATGTCCTGTGATTTCACCAAGAGTTCAAGCTGAACACTGATCTATACTGTCCAGATTTGTGATATACATTCCATGATGTTCCCACTATGAAACATCCTGAGGCCTCCCTTCTCAGAACTCGTCCCTGTTGTCGAGTGACACAGGACTGTGTGTATGCGGTGGAGATTTAGCATGAGCAATATAAGTAGCGTGTTCATAGTATAATTTCCATGGAAGCCTCTTCATGGAAGGTGAATACATGAATCTTTACCCTCAGATCCTTCAAGTCTTGTTGCATATCTGTGTAGGGATAAGTCCCGCCCCTTAGGGGGCGTGTTCGCCTCGGGCTAATGTCTGCCTATAAATTTGGCGAGCAAGCTCCAAGGGCTTGCTTCTGCTTTCCTGGTCTCCGCGGGAACGGTGGTTCTGTAAGTCTATTTCTACATTAAAGCTATATATATATTTTTACACTCTGTCTGCATTCATTTACGCCGTTACATTTTGGCATCCAACGTCGGGCTATTTTGCCCCCGACTCAAGCGGGTAGCCCGCTAGCTAACACAGCACCCTCCCCGGTGCTGTTTTTCAGTTCGTGACTCCGGCCCCAGTGCCGAGTCCGAGACACACTCGCGACACAGGCCCATTCTGCCTGCCTTGGCTAAGTTTTGCAGCGGAACCCCACTGCCTGAATTAGCAGAAGCTCAAGTACTTGCGGTTTTGCAACAAAAGCTGCCACAGCGTCAGATTTGGTCTGTTACAAAGTGACTTGGCCGGTTGTGGTGGCCCACGCCGGTAGGATTTGCTGAAGGAGGCAGAGGCAGGAGGATCACAAGTTTGAGGCCGGCCAGGCAGTG